GTCCAATTGATTTACAACAACGGGCGACCATCGGATCGGAAGGGCTGGGGCTTCGGGATGGGCCCGTAGAGCTGAGAACGGAGCACTGGCCACACAATTGTGGCCAAAAAGTGGCCCACAACAGAATCACAGCCCCATCATCCTCGTCCACCCCCCTCCAAATCCACCCCCCGGCGGGCAAGTGGCGATGGAAATAATTCAAATATCGACAAACACTCGCTGCAGCGGAATCAAAACACCACAAATCGCGGCTCGTTCGCATCCCAAAGATACACAAAAGTGCAGAGAGTTCTGGGATTTCCGTGGGGTGCAGGGCATCAGATGGGATCGCATCCGATGTTTATTTGTTTGTTTCAAGTGTGAAATTGGTGGACTGATAGGGAGAGATGGCCTCCACGGTGATGTCGCCTCAGGTGAAATAGTGGTCCAATATTTTATTCAAAAGGTGTAGATGAATCCGCTTAATTTAAAAAGCTTGTCAGTAGTAATGCATTTGTAGTCCATATAATAATAATAATATTCCATATATTTTAATTTATATTTGTTGATATATTTTAACAAATGGACTATGCCACAGAAAAAATTCAATATAGAAAATGATAAGCTTTTTATAAAATAAAGCGGCCTGCAAATTTAGTCCATTATTATATTCAAGAACGTTTTACTCTGAAATATATCAAGGTATATCCATAGTGTCGATCGATGGGCTAACATTTTTAAATATGTCGAGGCTATACTGATGTAAAATTATACATTTTTCAACAACAATTAAACTACATATTTTCTTCTACTGCAGTCCGTTGAAATCTTCCATCTTGGAAAATGTGCAACTCTCCTCATTCGTTAGTTTTGACCTCCTGCTTTTGGCCAATAAATTGTGCATCGTAAAAATTATTATTTATAAGCTGTGGTATCTGTATGCATTAATTGGCATCGCTCACCCCCTCATCACCATTTCCATATGAGTTAGCATATTTTCTTGGCCTATTGTCAGAGGCGATGACGACGGCAGTTTGGCTGAGACTTTCCATGCACGAAATGTGCGAAAAAAATAAATTCTGTTGTTTTATTTATGTTTACAAACTGATTTATTCCACGGCTCTGGCTTCCCGATCGTTTCATGCCTCAAATTTATTTTGACAGAGACGGACAGCACAGTAAAAGATATGGTTTGTGCATCTGTATCCGCAGCCTCATCGTTTTCTTTTAGTTTCTTGACTTTAGATGGAATGGCGAAGTGAGTTTTGCCGAGGAAAAGAATGTTTATCAAGCGAATTGCAACTGCAATGGCTAATGCGTTCTCAAATTGGTTAACAATAGATTCCGGCCAACTTCCATATTTATCTGCTGGCATCTACGGCCGGCAAAATCGAGAATCGTAATCAACTTTCTTTTGCCGAAACTATAACAATGGAAAAGTGCTTTCCCCTCGATTCAGCTGGCGACTTACACTCCCTCTCGCGAGTGCCATTAAAAGAGTTAACCATCATAAAGTCAGGGAGGCAAGGAGGGTTTATCCAACACAATACAATGGACAATGAGCACATAAATCAGTGTAATTAATAGAAAACTAGCCAAAAGCCAGCCGATCCAGCCAACCGTTCATCGATCCCCACGCATGAGCTGGCATTCAAACACGTGTGTTCGAGGTCCGTTTTGGTCACTCGGAATGGGATTTGAAATCGGAATACCAAATTGCCAAATCTCTCAGCCTCATTAAGAGTTCGCTTCCAGATCCAAATCCAGATCCAGACCGACCTACGTAACTCTATCTATCAATATTTATGCCTCCTGTTCAGTGTAAACACTTTGCAATGCGTTCTCGATTGGGTTTTCCACCATTTATCTCACAGTTTGAGGCAAACGCATAAATCTCTCATCGCCCCCGGCAATGCGATATTTCAGCCACGAATTAAAATAAATATTTAAGGGGCTACTTTTAACGAAATTCAATTTATTATCAATAAAAAATATTTTTAGCACTGGCCTTTGCCCGAGCACATCAATCAACGGAGGAGTCCGAAGCCCACGAGGTCGTCTCCAAGGAACTAATTCATTCATTTGCCCAGCTACCAAATCACTGGCCATTCATTTGCCAAATGTCCGGCCAGAGAACAGAGACCCCAAATGGATCAAAAACTCCGGTTCCCGGAAAGGGGTGACCCACCTGGAGTGGGAAAAGTCGTAAAAAAGAGTCACCTGCAATAAGTCAGGGGCGAAACTCAAGCAGTTTGATGGCTGCCCGAAGCCTTGTCCTTCAAATTACAGCCTGATTAGACTCGTGGGACATCCGCACATCCCACAAAACATTCCCATTCCCATCTGTTGTGGCTGACTGGAGATGGAGATACTAGTGTATTTTGGGGAGGGGAAGGAGTCGTCGGGTCCAGATTGATGAGCTCTGCGGCTTCCTCTAAATAGCACAACCTGAGAAGCGAAAGTGATAAATATATGGCTGGGCACATGTCCGCAGTGATTTCAGTTAACTGGAAATAGAGGAATATAAATGGAGGCAAATCTCTTTATATACGAAGCAGTCTGGCGACGCATATTCTCCCCGTATTTAGATTTTAATTAACATCTTCGATCCATCAAAATTAAAGCAGCAAATAAATAATATACAGTCGACAGGTTCTCGAAAAAGTTTTGTAAAGTCCAGACTCATATTAATTATTTGAATTTTTTTGCTAAGTTGAGTTCTACCTTACATGAAAAAAACTCTTTCCAAAGTATTTAAAAACATTAAGAAAACGTTACATTCCATTGATATTTGGGAAAAGAATATTTCACAGGATATAACATAATTAAGTAACAAAAGTTCAAGGATAGATTATTTCAGAATTTAAATACGAGGTATATTGTCTTTTATTTTAGAGTTTAAAAAAATGTAAGATCAAATAAATACTTAAATTGCATTGATTTTTGAGATAATAAGTTACAAAAGTGTAAAGATAATGCAAATTTTAAGAGTTTAAGTATATCCAAAAGTATAGACTTATTTGACAACTCCCATTGTGGTTCCTAACTTCCCAGATAAAGAACATAAATTCGAGTTTGGCCGGCGACCGTGTGACAGAAGTCTAAAAATTGTTGACAAGTCCGGGGCATAAATTATGGCCTCGACCGAGCGTTAATCGCACATTTAACTCGCAGGAATTAAACTGCAACTCGGGTAGCTTAAACGTTTGGCAAATCGCTGACTGGGAGAAACGGCGACGGCAGAGTCACAGGAGAACAACAACTTTGTTTCAGCGATAACCATCGTGAATGCAGGAGCAGCCCCATCGATCCCTATTCCGATTCAGATTCTCCAGGGAATCGGAGAGAGGCAGAGAATCGGAGAACCCAGTGAGAGATGCAACGGGCCAGAACATAGTCAGCAACACAAATAATTCGCTTTAATGAGATCGCAATCTTGGCGATTTGCGACAAAAACACACGCGGTTTCATCTCCATAAACTCGGCTACAGATGCAGATACAGATTCCGAATCGGGTCTCCAAAACAGAGTGGTATGGCATGGTATGGTATGATATGGTTATGGTGTGTGTGCTGTGCGTGCGTGTGATCACTGCAGAGATGAAGATGAGCCAAAGTTGAGAATCTCGATCTCGATCGAGCCACAAATCCCCAATGACGACCATCGAGCCCAGCGTCCAATCGATGCAACAGCGTGGAACGTTGGCTACCAGTGTACACTTAGCCAAAAATATTAAACAAATAAATTATTACACATATTTTACATGTTATAAAAGTTTTATATGGAGTAATATCATCCGATTTGGAAAATTAAAATATATAATTTCCCACAGCCTTTTTGGTTAACCGAACCTTTCTTGGATCACTTTCTACTTATCTAATAGTTTCATATTACTAATCCGCAAGCTAATACAAAGAAGCCTTAATACAAATAACTTACTTTGAACACATTTTTTTTTACCTTTCACGTAATTTGGGAACGCAAATATATCATAACTCTTAAATAACTATTACCCCTTTTCACCATTTCTGTTGCCTTATCGACAAATCAGAAACCAATCTTGAGAACTAGCTCAGTATTTCAGAAAAATTCTTTAATTAATTTTCAATTTATTGTATCTAAAATTTTGTTTGATAGAGGTTAGGGAAAATTTAATTTTCGATATAACTACCATGGAGGTAGGTAAATGAGTCCTTTTTCTGTTTTTAATATATTGTATTAACATTGCCGCAATGTAAAAATTCTTGTATCTTTTGTATGTGACAGTCGCTTTTTAAGTGGTCCTAATTAAATTGTGTGATGTTCATACATTTTTCTCAGTGTACCCCTTGTTACTGCTGTTCTCCGCTGCTGTTGCGCTCATGTTGGCTGTCAGCGCGCTTGACTTGTTGCCCCTTTGCCCGCCGGCCCTTCTGGCCATCTTATTCTCTGGTTCCCTGGTCCCCTGGTTCCCCGGTTGTGTGTAGCCCCTGCTTGTTGACATGCTCAGCATGCTTAGGCTTACAGCCAGTCCAACTCCAAGTGCAAGTCCAAGTCGAGGTCCACCAATAAGAGCAACTGCAACAGTCAGCATCAGAAAAGCGTCCCAGAGATGTCAATGTGTCGTGGAAGGGGCCTCCCTTTTGGCCAGAAAAGACGCGACCACGACACATGGCTTTGGAATTTCAATAATTTAATGTAGACCTCCAGTCCACTAGATTTACCGGGTCTACCCCACATCACCCCACAGGCTTTCATCAATTCACAGCCGAAAGTTTCGCTCATCACGTGCCATGCCACGAACATTTTTTTCGGACAATTAATTGCTGCAATTAGTGCGACATGGCGCTGATTAAAGTCGGCAAAGTCGAGAAAAGAAAAGCGACCCCCGAAATGAAAGTTGGTCCTAACTGCATGTGAGATGATGAATGCACGACCATCCCGGAAATTCTACAACATTTTAAATACAAGGAGACCAGAACAAATGACCTTTTGAACTGAAAATAAATATGATTTAAACAGTTGGCTTTCCAAAAATGTCAATCTTGACCTGGCATTAAAATTTAAAATTCCTATAAATTTACCTCTTTAATTTTTCGATAACAAATGCTTAAATTATTTTTCCAACTAGTTGCCAACAAGCAGATCCTTCAAAAAGTAGAGAGGACCCTTATATACCCTACCTTTAATCACCTAGAAATGTCCCGATCCAAAGCTACGGTCAATCGTCCCACGGACTTGAGTCCTCCCTTAGTCGAGGAGGCAAATGCTAGGATTGTGTATCCCGAAGCACGGAAGGATGGAAAATTTGAGGAAATGCTGCATGAGTATAGAATAAGAGATGTCTATCGTTGGCTGGAGGATCCAGATTCGATTGAAACTCAAAGGTTCGTGAACGCTCAAAATAATATTAGCCAACCGTTTCTCGAGAGATGTGAGGAATGGGAAAGTTTCAATGCCAAACTGACAAAGATCTGGAATTTCCCGAAGTACGGATGCCCCATGCGTCATGGTGATTACTATTACTATTTCAAGAACACTGGCCTACAGAATCAGAGTGTTATGATGCAGCAGGAGAATTTGGAGAGCCCAGAGGTGGTATTCCTAGACGCCAATAGTCTGTCCGCCGATGGAACCACCGCACTGAGTCATAAAACATTCTCCGAAGATGGGGCCTACATGGCCTATGGACTAAGTGAAAGTGGTTCAGATTGGAATAAAATACGTATAAGAAAGGCTAAGGAACGCACCGATTTTCCCGAAACTCTGGAGAAGGTAAAGTTTTCGAATGTCTCCTGGACGAAGGACAACAAGGGCTTCTTCTATGGTCGGTATTCCGATCAAGATGGCAAAACTGATGGTTCGGAAACAAAGCAGAATGAAAACCAAAAATTATATTACCATCGAGTGGGAGAAAGACAAGATCAGGACACTTTGATTGCGGAATTTCCCGAACACCCCTCTTGGCGGTTCCAAACCGATGTTACCGACTGTGGCAAATATCTAATCCTATTCATAAGTCACACGGTTCGAGATAATATGCTGTACTATGCTGATTTGAAACCTGATGAACCAATAACTTCTAAGCTGGATTTTAAGCCCATTGTGGATAAATTTGAGGCTGACTACGATTACATAACCAACGAGGGATCCAAAATGTACTTCCACACAAACAAAGATGCTCCCAAATACCGAATTGCTGTGATTGATTTTAACAATCCGGCTGAGGACCACCCTAATACCAGAACACGAGAAAGATGTTTTAGAGTGGGCCAAGTGCGTGAATGAGGACAAGCTGTTGGTTTGCTATAACCGTGATGTAAAGCATATTCTTCAGGCCCGTGAGTTGCATACTGGAAATCTCATCCGCCAATTTGGTCTGGATATCGGCTCCATAAATGGAATTTCGGGAAAACGGAAGTATTCGGAGATCTTCTATGGTTTCTCATCCTTTCTAACGCCTGGCATAATTTACCACTACGACTTTGCCAAGCCCGTTGAAAAGCCAAAGGTTCTGCGAGAAATCAATCTGAATTTGGAGGGCTTTAACCGTGACGATTACAGTGTGGAACAGGTGTTCTACAAAAGCGCCGATGACACCAATATACCCATGTTCATCATCCAAAGAAAGAGGGATAATGTGGAGCCCCGACCTTGTTTGCTCTATGGATATGGCGGATTCAACTACAGCCTAATGCCTTCTTTTGGCATAACTGGTCTCATGTTTATAGACACATTTGATGGAGTTTTGGCTTTTCCGAATATAAGAGGAGGCGGGGAATATGGCATAGAGTGGCACAACGGAGGTAGGTTGTTGAACAAACAAAATGGGTTCAATGACTTTCAAGCGGCTGCAGAGTTTTTGACCCGAAATAACTATACCACTAAGGATCGATTGGCGATTCAGGGTGCTTCGAATGGTGGACTTTTGGTGGGGGCCTGCATTAATCAGCGCCCGGAACTTTTCGGAGCAGCCGTTGCACAAGTGGGAGTTATGGATATGTTGCGATTCCACAAGTTTACCATCGGTCATGCCTGGTGCTCGGACTACGGAAATCCCGATGAGAAGGAGCACTTTGCCAACCTCTTCAAGTACTCGCCCCTACACAATGTACATATTCCCCTGAACCCAAATCAGGAGTATCCTTCGACTTTGATCCTGACGGCCGATCACGATGACCGAGTGAGTCCTTTGCACTCCCTTAAGTTTGCTGCCGCTCTCCAGGAAGCCGTGCGGTACTCTGAATACCAACTCAATCCCATTCTATTGAGGGTCTATACCAAGGCAGGTCATGGAGCTGGAAAACCCACCAAGATGCGCATCAGTGAGGCCACGGATATCATCACTTTTTTCAAGAAGACACTCAAAGTCGACACTATCAATCTGTGAAGCAAATTTAGAGCACTTCTTTAAATAACTTTGCTTCTAGATATAAATTTTTAAAAATTAGTTTGGCAACTATTTCATTTATTTGGGAACAATAATTAAATTTTTGTAATTAATCCCTTGATCATTTTTTCTCTTCTGACGAGGGAAAAAACCACTAACTTAATATCTCAGTTCATATATTTTCTATAAGTGTTATACTACAGAAATACAAGATGGGTTAGGTCAGTAAAAATGCATAAGTATTAAATGTTGTTAATCAATTTCATTTTTATGATCATCGCGAATTTATAAAAAACTAAAATATATTAACAAATATTTAAGTACTATTAAATTATATTGTGTGCTTGTCATTTGAATGGTAGCAACAAAACAAATTTAGTAAGCGCTTCTTCCAAAACAGTGTAAATATCTGAACAGTCAGCCCCTTTTTCAGCCTAATCAAGATAGATCTCTATGTTTTCATGTTTGAGGCACCGCAGAGACGTTACTTGATGCCGTAAATCAAATGTTTAATCAGTTGAATTTAATTAGAAAAAAGGCGCACAAACATCGAAGCTGTCATGGCGGAGATGCTTCCATTCTGAGCACTTCTGCGACTCCATAATCGCATGATAGTCGAACGATTAACGTTCAATACGGTCGCTGAGCATGCGATATAAGGGGGAATGGGAGTGGGTACGCGTTATAAGGAGGGCTTTGGGATCGGGATCGGGATTGGGATGGAGGGGGGCGGACAGACAGAAGCTGCCAGAGGCGAACAGGCCGCCAGCTTCTGCCCACTGACATTGGGCCGAGAGCGTTTTGGTAGTTGTGTAATGTCTGCTGCCAACTTCGGGGTCCCAGCATGGGTCTTTCGATCCCGAACCCTCCTCGGGGACCCTGGACCGGGGCCCCTAAGTATCGGGATCGGAGCAACGCGATCGAAAATGGATTTGTATCAATATCGACTCACTAACATGATTCCAATAAATTAATATGCATACATGGCAGGCACACAGACATCGACTGTTGTCTGGTTTTTTTAGCGGAGTTCGGAGCTGGGAGTCTGGAGACTGGAGATCTCGATCGACATCGCAACACGATGATGCATGTGCAGTGTCTCTAAGTTGTGATCGTGTTAATGTAAATAATTGCCAGCCAGTCGGACGTGGCCCAGTCGAATATATATATAGTGTCCTATAGTGTTGTGGCTGTGGTTTGGTAGATGTAATTAAAATCTCTCCGCTTCTCACTTTCTGCCTGCATTTTGTCCAGCTTGTTCGGTGTTGGCCAGAAGAGATTCGTCTTGACTGATATGAGAGTGCGCGACATACACGCAAGGCTGTTTTTTGTCCATCCCCCCCCAGGATTTCTTTTTCTTCTCACTTTTGGGGAGCTTGATGCTGACAGTTCAAGATTTCGGCTTGGCATCTGGTGAGATTTGCCGGGGATTGAGTGAGGAGAAAAGCTCTGAAGTATCTCGATTCGGTTGGCAAGCCGTCTAATTGGCTTTGTTATTTGCATTAGGCCAAATGGAAAACATTTTCAGAGTTGGTTACTTTAATTGCAATCACCTTTATCAGAACTTGATTAAAAAAATGTAAATTGGGAGTTACTTTCCCGAAAAAAAATATTGGTAGCATCAATTTAAAGTTTAAACATGCTTTAAAATAATTAAGTTCTTTATTTTCTACATTCCTAAAATATTTGTAATTATTATAATTATATATATATACTGTTCTAGTCTCAATAATATTTTTACTGCACCATTAAAAACCAAAAACCAAAATAAATAAAAGTATATTTTAAAGTAAATTTATATTCCTCCTCAAATCCCAAGAAAGTCCCCAATAATCTGCTATCGATTGGTTGCTGCTGTGCAATATCTCCAACTTTGAATGCAGATTGGTGCACGTGACCCAAACTAAAAAAAAAAACAAAAGAAGAAGGGACTTGGCTTTGGTTTTAGCCTGGGTTGCCTACTTCACTTACTCGTATGTCAAGATGGCCAAAAGGATCCGAGACGAGGCCCTTGTATCGAAACATTCTACTGTCCCCGGCTTATTTATGGCCCCAGATGCTAAAGATATAGCGCCAGACGAGGACGAAGACGACTTTGCGTGGATTATTTTAAAACAGATATCGGCGAGCGATGGTGACGGCAGTTCACAGGAACAGCAACACAGTAATGCCCACTGAACGAAACTGATATTTGTTTTTAAGGAAAATGTTCTCCATTAAATATATTCAATGAGTTCGATGATTTAGACACTCTTACAAAAGCAAATAAAATGTATATTATATAGAAAACTTAATAATTTGTATTTTTATAAAGGTGCCAATATTTTTCCCAGTGCTGAATGGATCGAAACTGAAACCGTAGCTGAAAGCTACCATTTTCCGTATCGATGCATTGTTGATTAGTCCCAGCGATGCTGGTGCAGGAATATTTGGGTTGCATTTCACCTGGTTGCAAGTTGCAACAGAGTCACGCACGCACTCCAATTCCACAGCGGGCTCCTCATTCCTCATTCCCTATCCCAGGGACCAGATACCAAACACCATATACCAGATCCCAGCTGAGATCAGTAAAGTTGTCAATCAGAGTTACCGATCCGCCGACGAGGCCCCTTCAATCTTGTGCGTTTCGCCAAAGTCGCCATGTCATTATTTGTGGGAACCAATCCAGAGGAGAATTCTTGTGTCTCGCGGTCTGCGCAAAATCGACAATCATTACTTCAGAAACATGCCCAAGTAAAAGCCAGTCGCAGTCGCAGCAATCAATCAATCACGGCCACAAATCAAACATGTCAAACCCGAACTCGACTCGAATCGAGTCTTGAGTGGCTGTGGAATCGAGTTCAACTCGCACAATGGCGCACATATATGACAGATCATCGGCATTCGGATCGATACTGTATACATTTCGATCCCATCGCCGTAAACCTCTCGAGAGGTTTGGTTTCGATTGTTTCTTTACCTATATTTTATTATATTCATGACTTTCTTGGATCATAAATGTGACTTGAGAGCACGAATAGTTAAGTACACAAATAAAGGTTAATGAGCTTTTTAGTTGTCTGACTTTTGTTCCATGCGTTGATGGTAAAAGAGTTGTGACAAAAGAAATTTAGGTCGTTGATGAAAGTGTCTCTATCGTTCTAATTTTATTCATTAATTATTTATTAAAACAGTATCTGAACCAACCCCGGATATTGTATTCCTTGACTGATAAGTCCCCTAAGATCTCATCCTGATTATTGGAACTTTTCTAATTGATCATTGCAAGATCCAATGGACGATGATCTTCACACCTATAGCATAATCTTCCTATATTATCGTTACCCCTTTATTTACGCATCCCATTCCTCGGATCCTGCGGTCCAGCGCTCTTTTCTATGTTTGTTTTCTGCAATTAAATTCGTATTCTCTTACAATTGAGGCGCTCAAGTGGAATTTCCACGAATATCATGGATATGGATACGCTGACAAGCAGATTGAGATGCAGATGCCGATGCGATGCCGAGTTGAGGTTGAGTTGGAAGTCGATTCCGAGGCAGCTGCAATCTTGGCCGAGACTGTTTTGCTGCGCTTCTAGGCCCGTTTGTTATTATAGGTATAGGTATACGTTTAGGCCCTTGGTACTTGGTACTCGGTACTTGGGGCAGTGCGTGTGTTTATACTGCCTCTGCCGATCCAACTGAAATTATCAATGGGGGAGGCTGCGGGTTCGGGGTCTCAAGCACCGTGCATATCAAAATAATCAAATTTTTGATTGAGTGCAGTTAGTGCGTCTGTGTTTACACATTGTAGACGACGATGATCGAGAGATCGATTCGACTCATATTCATTGCCCCAAGGAGACTGCGTTTTCGATTCGTTTTCAGTTTTCAGTGTTCAGTTTTGTGTCCAATCATGTTGTTGATATTGATAATGACATTGATGGCATCGAGTTGGGCTGAGTGACTATGGGGCTGCAGAGAAAAAAAAACTAGATCGATAGATATTTAATTTAGATGGCATAAGCGATTGAAATGTCCCTGAAGTCTAACATTTCTCTTTGCAGTAATATAGTAATCTTTAAAATATTTAAAAATTTATTATAAACTATATAGAAACATATTTTTTCCCGTGTAGGTACAGCTTTACATCTTGAACTCGATCAAAATCTCGAATTCAATCTCGAGTGCGAATGCATTCGATTGTTGTTTGCGCGGATTTTTGATTTCGATTTTTTCCATGCTGCCTGATGGCTGTCAATCCGGTGAAATCCGGCACAGTTCGATGGAATTGGTATTGGAATTGGAATCAATATCCAGTCAGTCCCTCTTCCCAAGTCAAACGATGATATTGACATTATCGAGACACTTAAAAATTTGTCTGCACACAGTACAAGTTTCATGTAAGCGATAAATGAGCAAGTGCCAATGCGCAATGATATCTTCAAGACACTTGGGTTATATTGTTATTGTTTTCTCATCATTAGACATGCGATACATTTGGTGAAGAGGCCCTCGATGAGGCACATTCATCAGGCTTGTTGGTAAAGTCGGGCTGGATATTGATGGATGCGATGCACTTGAGGGGACAAGAGAAAGTATGTTGAAATGGATTTTAACTCCAGCCAACCCAATTGATTTTTAGTGCTGGAATTTTCAATATTTAATTACCTTTCCATTTTATTACTAATAGCAACGCACAACCCCTCATATTTGCAACTCTTCACACAAATTCCATCTGGAAAATTCCACATGAAAAACAAACCATGTCTAACAAAGATAAATATTGGCCTAAGCAAATAGTTTCGAACGTGGAAAAGATTTGCACATTTAATGGCAAATGATGTGCACAATGGATTCGAATTGTCCGTCAACAATTGAAGCAATTAATAGGACACCCCAAAATCAATTTGCCATATTGTCGGCGACATTTGAGTGTCTGTGAGTAATTCGTCAGAATCAGAAACGATGAAGGACAGCCAGCCAGAGAAATCAAAAATGGCCAAATCAGAAAGGAATTTCTTTTGTTTTTGGCACACGGCCCGAAGTGCTGCGATGTCAACTGCAACGTGACTTGGAACTCTTGCGGTTTTCCTTTGATTG